CGCACCGCACCTTCTTGTCCTTCATCGGCCGCCGTCCCAATGGACCCTCGCGCACGCACTCAAGGTGCTCCAAAGGCATCGCTTCGAACCAGGCGCCACAGTAAGGCTGAGGCCCCACCCCTTCCTACTCCTCCAAGTGACGTCAGAAGCTTCGTTCTAGCCAGCAGCGACCCCTGTGTTTTGGTTGTTCGACCCCCGCCGTGGTCGCGACCCACAGGTTGAGAACCGCTGCTGTAAAGAGAGCTGGGGAGCCATGCTGGATTGGTTGAACCATTATCTGGTCGAATGGCTGGATCCCTCAAAATCCAACGTATTAAGCCCCACAGGAAACTCTGGAGGGCCATTCCCCTCTGAAGCATTTTCACCATGCTTTTATGCCATCTTCAACCATTTTAGGTCTACAGAAGGTATTTTTAACATCAGGAAGTTAGTAGAAGTCACTTCCTCTTGTATAAAGGGCCTCTACTGGACCTAAACAGGCGAAGAGGATCACCAAAATGTGATGAAAATGTTCACTAATGTTCCATTAATGTTCAAATGTTCTGTCAAAATCTACACTTAAAACCATCTGAGGCAGAAGAGGACATGTCTGCACTCTCCCCTCTGTGGCAGCCCTTCAAGTATTTACTTCAGTTTTCATCTCAGTCTTCTCTTCACCAAGCTGAACATACCCAGATCTTTCAACCTTTCCTCATATGATTCCTTCTCCATACCTCTTATCCTCATTGCACTTCTCTGAACCTGTTCTAACTCGTCTATATCCTTAAAATTAAATTAAACGCAGCATTCCAGATGAGGCTGGACCAGTGCATTATATAGCAGGACTACTACTTCCCTTGACTTTGAAACTATGCTGAGAAGAAAAAAACCCCTTACTACCAGCAACTTTCCTTCCTTTTTGCTGCAGTTGGTGGTTAGGTTAGCACTTTTCTCGGCATGTTGTATCTCTTGCTGATGTCTTGTTTGTGCCTCTTCACCACTGCTATCCTCAGGTAGATGTATGAAGTGATTGCTTAGTTAGAGGGGCCCTGATTCCCTTGTGCATGGTCTGCTACTAAGCCCGACTGTCCTCTTCAATGCTCCCACACTGCTCCCGCCCTCTTCATTTTCACTGGCAGTTTCTTCTATGGTTCTTTAGGACCTATTCTGTGTTTTATCTGTGAAGTCCTTATGTTCTGATGTGTTAAAGAATCTCAACACACAGCTGCAGAGCACTGACCTTCTCTTTCAAGAGCCACCAGTTTGCATTTGCTGCAAATGTAATCAGTGAGGTTTTCTAGCAAAAAGACAAACATTGTAGCAGACAGATCTTTCTGCCGTCATCTCTTTTTCATCCCTTTCAGACTAATATCTCTTACTGTTATATAGAGCTAATGGCTCCTAGTTCCAACCCAAGCAAATCAGTGACTCAGCAGCCCCATTTCCTTGGACCATGTGCTCAAGGAAAGCACATGACCAAAAACAAACAAAAGCCCTACACAAGCCTTGACCCCACAAAACAGTTCACTTTCTTCTGCTCTCTGCAGAAACTCGCTCCAGGCACCAAAGGTACCCTTCTGTTCATAGAATGCTTCATTCCTGTTCATAAAACAATGCATTCTTCACACACTATGATAGTTCCCCCCCCCGACATACATATTATTTTGTAATGGAGTAAAAGAATGATAATTATAGAACAAGAAGTTATCATAGTGAGGGCTGGCAGCTACAACATGGGCGTTCAGCAAGGTTCCAGAAATCACCAGCTGTGCCCAGATGTCACCTTCTTTATATCTCAACAATTAATTTATTTCACTCATATCTAGAATAATTTTTGGTTCTATCTAACTAGCACCCATATGATCTAATATAGTGACTACATAAAAGCCATTGATAGAAGATAAAACAGAAATGGAGTACCCATACATTCTGCCAGAGCTTTTGACAAACATGAAAATATCACCAGGTATTTGGATTAGAACAGGACAGAAGTAACTTACGATTGATGGTGACGGGGTAATATTGTTACAATAGTTCCTACAGCTTTAACAATATGACTAATCTGTGCTAGTTAAGCATTTCTGTGTTTAATAAAATCATCATAAGTCATGAACTTTAAATTTGCCTTAGATTACAGAACTGAACAGGCAAGTACTCCAGATACTGTTCAACCACAACTTCCATTATCTTTCACCTCTGGCTATACTAACTTAAACTAATGAGAGTTGCAATCCAACAGGTTGTCCATTCCAGCTTTAGGTACTGGAAAGGCATTCTTGTTGTTTGTTGCTATTTACCATCAAGTTGCCTTGAATGAGAGATCTCCAAAATCCTTGGCCATCAACTAACCTATTCAGGTTTTGCAAACTCTAGCTTCCTTGATTGAATCAATCCCCCTATTGTGAAGTTACTCCCCTAAATTCCAAGACTTTATACAATCTTCCCCTGCATAGAGAGCATATGTAAAGTTTCTATAAAGGTGGAAAAAAGTAGATATATAGTAGCAGGAAAATTTCCTCATCCCAGCCCTAAACACAAGTTTCCACATACTGATCTCTCTGCCCATGGCAACATAAAGTAAGAGTGTGTCATTCTAACAGGATTAGTAGTGGAATGCTGGTTGCTCCTAAATTTCAGTTCTATTCCCAAAGTGCAAAGTTATGCCTGATCTCAAGTTCTGAAATCCACAAACAGCAAATTCTCATGTCTATACTTTTGACAAGGGGTGGATGTAATGTATTACAGGTAAACAGGATTTTTAATAATGCTATCAATTTCTATTGAGTATTTGTAAATTCTTGAGGCCATGTTGTTATTTTTACTACCCTACTATTTAGCTGCTTTTAAACCTGACAATCACTCAAATTATCTTGAAAAAAGAACAAAGCTAAACATAAGTATGCATTAACTGATCAATAAATACTTTTAAAAAGTAATTTTAATAAATGTTTACATGTTTACAGTGCCACACATGCTACCTCTAGATTCATGGGATTTGCACTTTTATTTTTAAATTACATTTAACTCAAATGTAGCATTGTTAGAATGAAAAGGATAACAAACTCACTATATAGATACATCACTATACACACACTATGAACTCACTATAAAGATGCATCAGCTTGACTGTATTAAAGAGTACGAATATGTAGAAAAGAGAGACAACTGACCCCTCCATTCCATTCAACCTGATCACATTGTTGTTTAATTTTCCCTCTTAGGCCAAAAGCAAAATGAAAACAAAGTTCCTGTAATGTGATTGCTACATGGCTTCCATTTTGTTGTTTTGGAACTCAAAAAGAAACATAATAACAACTTCATTCAGGTGTTAAATTGGGGAAAGAGAATAATGGGAGTTCAATGTCATGTTTTTGCCCTCCTTGTATGTAAAGCTAGAGATTGGAAGACCTGGAAAAAAAATGGATTTTTTTGGGGGGGGGGGGACTGGGGTGTTTTTTTTTTCCCCTGAAGCCTTTTTTTGTTTTGCTTTTCCAAAAAAATTGAAAAAAGGGGAAAAAACTGATTATGGAATGGTTTTAAGTATACTTGCATTCAGTTCTTTATAATCACAAAAGACATGGGAGAGCAGCTGAAGGCAATCTGAAATACCCTCCAATGT